CTTGCACAAAACGACGATAATTTTTCTAATTTCATAGATAACAGAAGACTGTATTTTTTCTACATAACCCCCCCTGACTTTAAAGCTGGATCCGCCCCTGCTTCCAGGTGCACTCAGAACATTGCACAATCACTGACACTTTCCCAGGCACCAAATAAATACCGTCTATATTCCTACCACGTATGTAAGATCACATTAAACCCATGGGTTACTGAACACCGGTATAAATTGAGCAGGAGTTAATTAACCGAATACGAGAAGCTGCTCGAGAAGAGTGCATAACAAAGTGATACACAGGCGCTGGTTTGAAGTTAGAGACTCAAATATATGTTTGTGTAATTTGTAAACAAATCCTAAAACACCGCCAAACAACACGTCCAGAGGATCACCCTGTATAATAAGCAAAGGAAATTAAATTCCCCTTTAGGAATGGTAAAATAAAACACTGGTAGATATTGAGATTGATTTTTCACTGGCGGTTTGCTTACATGTATGCTCAGTAAAATGATCCTAAACACGCCCTTATTAAATCTATACTGGAAAAACCTCCTATACTATTATGGAATTATTTACAATAAGAGTGTGTTGCAAGTAGACCATCTAACTAAACATTTAGTTAATTAGCACTTAAAGCTATTCATTAAAAGCTACCTAATATAGAGCAAAATGTCTTTGGCCCAAAGTTAAAATGTCTCATCTCCTGCCAAAGAATACCTACTACTTATATTTTTTCCATTACAATCTGCATATAATCTGAACAACATTTGCATACATTCTATGTACAGTAGGGGTTGAAATTGCTTTGGACTACGAACTAGGTTCCTATTTATTTATATTATTACTGGGATTGGAAGCTCCGCAATTTCCAGACCTCTCGTTTACGTTATCATATTGACTAAGATTGTCCATATTGTGATTTTCCGATCTGCCCGAATCAGCCGTTGTCTGATTGGTATTAATGGTGGTTGGGTAATTGTTTGTAATGGGTGTGTAGATGGGCATGCCCCTCTGCAATGGAAACGTTCAAGTTTCGCCCAAAACATTCCGTAAATCAACCGTTTACCTGAATATTCATGTCCCGCCTTATTTCCGGATGCGCTTGCATCACCAGCATGGGCCCGATTTCTTCCTCCTTGATTACGCAGTCACATTCCAATTCCTCACAATGAGGACATTTATCGATCAGATCCGATTTGACGGAGTTTTTCAGTTTCTGCAGGCAAATATTGCTTTGATTTTTCAACTCCAAGTTCCACTCGATTGATACAAACCTCCATTAACGTTTTCCCAGGCGATTGGAAAATAACGATTATCATGTAAGCAGGAATGCATATGATGGAAAGCGAGCAAATTATCCAGCCAATCACAATGGCCCATTGAGGGTAGTGGTAGGCACCGTTGTTGTAAGTGGGGGGCTCGTAATCGATGATCAAAAACACCCATAAGGCGAAAATCATTAATGGAGTTATCACCTGAAATGCAACAATGACACTGTTTAGAGCTAGAAAAACCAAAGATCTTTTAACGGGAAGACAGTGAAAATTCAACTGTTTTTCATACAGAGTGTTCCTAAGTTCTGGCACCAAAAACTGGCAGCTGATTTCTTGGTTTATGCAGCCATGGAACATCAACAAGGTTTTCGAGTCCGAAAAAATTAGTTGCCAGGGCCGAAGACGTTTTCATTTAGAATTTGTTTAGTCTCTAGAATATGTTTCGTTAACCGCAAAATTTTCCAGATAAATGGGAAGAGATGATCCAAGTACCCACTTTTACGCCTTATTCAAAGGTGATGGGCATTTTTTGCAATTATCCCCTGTTTTCCCAAAAAAATCATAAAAGTTAAAAAAGACTTTAAACGGTCTAAAAGCGCGAAAAATTCATCAGTTTCAAGACGAAATCCACGTACCAGCCAGCACATTTTGATGAAACAACCCGGATGTCTTCCGGTCATCGTTTTAACGTTTTGGCTCAGCCTAAAAGCGCCGTAAAACCACGCAATGGCTATCACCTCAAAAAAGGCCAAATACATTATGGATATTGAGGCCGCATAATGATCAATCAGCTGGAAAAAGTAGATGCCACCCTGAAACGAACAGAAAAATGAAAATCAAAACTCCAACAACTAGGAAAACATTGAAAAATCACCTGAGTAACATTGGGTAAACCACATAAGAAGGAAATCACACAGATGATCAGCACCAAAACCTCGTGGCACATCAAGTGCTTCTTAATCCAGCCAGGAAATCCGTCTTGGATCGATGTCACCACGACTTCCACAATGGCAAACTAAAGAAAAAATCTGAATGAGATTATTTAAAATCTGCAAAATGAACATGTCTGTATTACTTGGCTGTTTAAGGCCAGGCAGATGAGCATGAAGAAGAAGAACACGGCCCATAGTTGGGATGTGGGCATTTTTGCCATCGTCTGAGGATACACCACGAATATTAATCCAGGACCTAAAAAAAAGTAAATGCAATCGAAAATTTTTTTGCAATTAATTAAGTACTTAATGAGTTGCCAAAGCCACGCCTCTCTAAAATAACTATTCTAACAATGTGATAGATTCAATAAGGAATGGAAAACTGGTCAATATTGAGCGTTTCTCCGGAAAGTTCTTAATCAAGAATTAATATTCCTACTCAACCTGTAAGGAACTGAAGATCTTTACTTGATCGGAAAGAAGGCGAACTAATTAAATATTAATTATTTAGGACGCAAGACCAACTTAGTTCTCAAGCTTCCGTAAAAAATTGGCTACGAAAACGCGCTTTAAATCCTCGTCTTACTGGTTTTTAACTCGCGAAAATGAGAAGATTTGCTAGATTCATCGAAGTGGCACGTTGCAGTTTTGGTAGATTTTTGGGTGACCTAAAGACCCAAAATGGTTGTTGTTTAGCTCTAGTCACCCTGTATTTATTTTGCGAGTTCAATATCTGATTGATTTTTTTCGCCATCATTTTTCAACCTACACTTTTGAGTCATTGGCGCAATGAATGTACATTTCACAAAAGTTCCAAATATTTGACTCACCGATAAAAAAGTCTGGTTGTAATTTTGGGATTAGCGCCGAGGAAAGTCATCATGAGTCACTATTCTTACTATATTTTTCAAAGTCCATGGCTTACCATCATCAATTACATCCTCAATGCTTGTTCCCTGCTCATTGGCGATATTTCCAATGGTTGCAAATGCAAAAATGCCCACCATCAAACTGGTGATGCCATTCACGAGCCAAACAGCGATCGTATCGTGCAGAATACTGTTATTGTACTTGTTGTAACTGGCAAAGGAAATCATCGATCCAAAAGCGCAACCCATCGAGTTGAACGTTTGGCTGGCTGCATTTACCCACACCTGGAATACATTAGTTTCATATTTTTTAGAAACTGTGACAAAAAAAACCAGAGAAAAATTCACAAGTTTGCACATGCACAGTCGTTAGAGCTTGTAAAATTCAAATTGTTGAAGATTTTTGCGCGTGTTTAAGTGCGTAGCTAAACTTCAGGCGGGGCTTTCTGAGTGATTTCAAGAAGAACATTTTATAGAAGAATGGGTTCTTAAATGCCTTCTATTCAATATACAGGGTGTCGAAATAAAAAGGAATGCAAGTGGAAGCAGTAGTCTGTTTCAACACTCATGTGATAAAGTAGAAGGCATAATTCTTTGTCTGTTTTGAAGAACTTTTCCAAAATTGGTCTCCCTCTCGTCATGTCTTTATCGCAAACTCTCCCTAATGGCTAAATAGTGGTGGTTTATTAATAAGCTCAAATAATTTAATTTTAATTCTCTTGTCTCCACCCGCGCTGTTTGTTCCCCTGTAAGAATCCTGAGAAGTTCACTTCAAATAGTTCAATATTTTCATTTCGCGAATTTTGTGAACGGCGGAATTTCCAAACGCTGGTAGGATTAGAGTGCACTTGTTACGGGAAATTAAACTTTCTTGCCTTACTTCAGAAGAAAAAATCCAAATAAAATGTATTTGTCGCCCGGACCAGATTGTGCACTCCCAAACCATGTCTCTCATCTCTGCAGTTGACTGTTGTTTTTCGCATTTGCTTTGAATCACCCTGTATATTTTCATACGGCAAACTACCTCCAAGTGTTCTGGTAAAAACACCCTCTTAAATGTTCGTAATCTTTAAGAAACGTCCACGACTTGCTTCGTAAATATACAGGGTGTCTCGGAGCATCTGGGTTAGTTTGGGAACAATTTCGGTTAGAACATCTTCCCTGATAATTTTCTGTCTTCCATAGACAGCAGAAAAAAAAACAGAAAAATGGGAAACTCATATAAACAAATAATTTTTAACGGTAAGGAAAACGAGAGGGATGATTTTTTTTGGTGAAAGGCCTAAAAAATTATATTTCGCAAAAATGTTTCCTTAGCACTTTTCCTTAGTTTAAGCTTCAAGTTATCCAAAAATATTTTTCTGCTGTTGTTATCATACAGGGTGTTAGAAGCTTTCCAGTACCACGCGAACTCAAGCAGCAAAATGAGTTTGAAAGGCACAGCGCTTTTCAGGGGCCTTTTTGTATAATTCACTTAAAAATACTGACGATCTGGAGGTCTTTAACGCGAAAAATTACAAGATACATTTATAGCTTTGTAAAAATGTTACAAACATTTCTTTCAGCGTCGAATTCTAGACAAAAACAAAACAAAATTTCTCCTGTTTTTCCCCGAAAACCGTTAAGGTTTTCTCCTAAAGCCGTAACAAAACTAAACGTTTTTAATCGAAATCGCTAGAAACCATTATGTCAAAATTTATTTTGCTAGAAAATTCGCCTCATTCATCGGTTTGCAGGAAACTTTAGGAAACTCTTTGCAGCATCGAATTTCGCACAGAAACCAAATAATTTAATTCAGTTTTTTACCGAAAGTAATTAAGATTACCTTAAAAAAGTGATTTGGAAAATTCGCCGCCCCCATCGCTCTGAATATTTGTAACGTTCCTTTAAATTTTCAGGTCATTCCAGTTTTAACCAAGTTTATTTTAAGCAATTCTTTCTACGTAAAAATCGCATTATTTTTACATTTTTCTTAAAATACTGATAATCTTTTCTGTGAAAAATATTAAGATAAACTTTATTTGAACACTCGCCTCCCTAACGGCTTTGCAAAAATTTTTGGAAAACTTTTTGCTGCTTCGAATTATGGACAAAACCCTAATAATTAATTTTGGGTCTTTTCTCAAAAATATTTTCCCCAACTGAAAAAGCGACAGTTTATAATCATTATAACTCTTGGAAACTGGGGTTTCTTCACTTTTAGGTCAATATTTCTAAACAACACTGTCTCTAAATAGAAAAACCGCATTTGTTCTAACGTTTTACTGTAAAATACTGGCAAGCTGAATCTTTTATGCAAAAAAAATGAAGAGATCGACTTTACAAGAAAACTCGTCGACTTTCTTTGGACTCAGTTTTGTTGGTGGGAAAATCTAGATGACTTTTTTTAGTTGTTTGAACAAAGTAGTAAAACGTTACTCAGAAAAAATGTTGATTAACTTGTTTTTTAGATGTGAAAATTCCAGTCTCGGGTCTCGTAAAGCTTTAATAAATGACTTATAATTCATTAACCGATGACTCGTCAACTCAAGAGCGCAACTCAACACAGTGTTACCCAGGCCTAGACCGATGTCTCTGTAGACATTTTTTCATAGGAGCTTATCATGTTATTCTGGCACCCTGTATATGTATAGCATCGGAAAGCCTGCCCAAATTTTCCGGTACACCCTGTATGCGAACTAAGTGGATTATACAAGCGCTAATGACTGAGCTTTTGTGTTTTTTGCATATTTTAAAAGGCTCACCTTGGCATCGAGTAACAATTCGAATTTGGGCTTGAAAAAATAGCGCATCCCCCTATCAGCCCCTTCCAGAGTGAGTGACTTGATCAGTAAAACGATAATGATGATAAATGGCACTGTTGCTGTGAAATATCGCACTTTTGCCGAGGATTTTATGCTTTTCCAAATGCCGAAATAAATCAGTACCCAAGCGCATATAAGGCAGGCCACTAGTTCCCATCTGAGTATGTCGAAGTCTTCTATTCCGCTGCCGATTTGCAGCACTTTTCGACTAATGGAAATAATCAGAATCGGGCAAAATTGCAATTTTCCCACCCTCAGTTCAACTCACTCATAAAACTCTTCAGCTGGACTGTGCGTGTTCAGAGGCTTCGAAATATTCGCACTGTATTTCGATGCCGCCCAACAATACTGGGTGTTCCATCGGTGCGTACAATCGTCCCACGGCTGTTTCGTTCGAAACGAAGTAAAAAAGTAATATACACCGTAAGCTATTATCACACTGTAATAGGTTGACATTAGGAAAGATATTACTACACTACCTAGTCCAGTACCTAAAAGTTGAGTCAAACACCAGTCAAACCAAATGCCCCTTACCTTTAAACCAATCACTTACCTTTAAATAATGGACATAAATGCCCCAACGCACCAATGGGACCTCGCCCAGTAAATTGCCCAACTGCTAGTTCCATGTATAACATGGGACCCCCAATGAAGACCATTATGATAGTGTAGGGGATCAGAAATACTCCTATAACAACCAAAACTCATTATATCACAAGGGTTTCGGTTCTGAAATTCGAGAATTTTTATCAAGTTCGGTGATGAAAAGAATGGATTTGAATTTGGCGCCGCAATTGACCAAGTTAATAAGACGCACCATAGCCATGGCAACGCAGTTGTCAACATTGAATCCACGTTGCAGATGTGCAGTGTCCAAACAGATCAACTTTTCGCGTCATTTTCCGAATTTTTACTCGAAATATCGATTCTATTTCTTGTTACGTTCTAATTAATCAAGATCTAAAGTGAATTTTCGCAAATTCCTTTGCCAGAGCGTCAAAGTAAGTAAAAGTAATGTTTGCTTTAAGTACATATACTGTTTGTTGGTTTGGTTGTCGTTGCCTGGCAACCAACGCGCGCCAAATTCAAAACGTTGCAATCACGCGCCAAATTCAAAAAGTCTGATTTTTTTAGGCTTTTTTCGAAATTTGCATCTTGATTCCGTATTTTCTGCGATAAGTGCTGGTTAAACCCAATTAGGCAAAACCGTCATCTCCCAGCTTAGTTCATTGCAAAATCCTTATTAGCAAAATAAACGCATTCATACGAAGAATACAGAATTGCGTGAACAATTTCAAAGAACATCACGTTGTTTGCATAGGATACAGCCGCAGATCCTTTTCCTATTACTATAAGATCTACGTGTTTTCATATAATAAATGAGCTGATTAATAGCCACATCCTTTCGCTTGTGTCATCTATTACTATTACAGGATGTCGAATGTGCGTTAACGTAGCCATATGCCATCGTTTGAAAATTTAATTGATACCATTTTCCGATCGGATTTTATCTAGTAAGTACACACATGTATGTTTCAGAAACCTTGAAATCGGTAGTAAATTACATTTTGCCAAACCGTACAGTAACAGTACTTTTCAAAAGTTTTAAAGTGATTCACACATAAACAGGTAAAAGTATTGTGAGTCATTTTTTTCAAGAACAATTCATATAGTAGTAGGTTGTTAGTTCAATTTTATGGAAATATGTAGTTGGTTTTGATAAAGGAATATTTGTACCCATTTTTGTGAAATAATTTTGCTTGCTCGAATGCAAATTTAGCAGTAATTGGAATAACTACTTAAAATGCTTTGCTCCGATAATTTTTTAATTCAATTTAGAAAAATCTTTTGAAGAAAATACAGAAAAATAAACATTTTTTCTTCTATTATAAGTGCATCATAGTTTCGAAAACTATTTTCGTAGATAACTCGCTATCTTTGCATTCCATACGTGATTTTTTCATTTCATTATCGCTTTGTCTTGACCATTTTTGTAATTTTTGCAAAGTTTTGCGACATTTCAAGAAAACAAGCTTCTAAAACTCAAAACCAGCTAAAAGTGAAAAACATTCAGTGTGAAAGATCTTTTAGTGTTCGGTTTTATCACTATCATTTCTCAAACGTTGTGGTTTCGAAAAATCGATTTGAGCAACAAATCAATTTTTGACAATTTTTTAGGAAATAAATTAAAAACGAGTGAAGTTTTTCGTCTGCGAAAATCGCCCCAAATATTTGCAAAATAAATTTCTGAAACTTAGTTTTTTTAAGGTTTATTTTTAACTATCGAAGTCAATCAGTTCACACCTATTTTATTAAATTTACTTCAAAACAGGCATTCTTAAAATATTTGCAACATTTATGAATGGTTTATTGGTTCTGGAAATAAACGCGACACAATTTGGCCCTAAAAAGAAAATTTACTTCTTTTTGTTGAGGAACAATCCTTTAAAATTCGCCTCTAAAAAGTCTTTTGGCAATGCTTCCGAATTATGGTGTATGAAAGTATTAAGGTACCTGCTAAGAAATCTCTAAAACATTTTTGCGTGGATTGCTTACAGTTAGGGCCAGTTTTGACTCAAAAGGTTGATTCCTGTTTTGACTTTTTTTTAATTTTCTTGCTAAAAAGCCCATTCCAGCCCAAATTTTGCACTTTTTTGTCTCTTGGTTATTTTGCGAAAAACGCGATGCTTTTGAGGAAAATAGTAGTCAAATGCGCGTGAATATTTGCATACATTTCTACGACTGCTTGCCGATGTCCGTTGATTTTTCAAAAAAAATTAAAGACGATTATGTTTTTAAGATCCGAAGTTTCCCGGGCACCTTATATGTATTTAAAATAAGTTCTTCTTCTTATGGCCGGACTTTTTGGGGAAAATAGTAAGTAAATAATGAAGATTCTTACCTCCTCCACTCTTGTAACATAAATAAGGAAAGCGCCATATCGAGCCCAATCCTACACTGTATCCAATACAGGCCAAAACGAATTGCAATTTGTTTGACCAATGCTGCCTTCTAGGTTTGATGTAAATACTATCTTCATCTTCGCCGCTTCCATCATCACTTTCATCGTCATACACGTATTCTTCTGGTGGTCTGAAACAGAACATTTTCACATTATTATTCTTAGTTTGTTCCGTAAAAAATGAGAAAAAAATTATAAGACAGTGAACAAACAAGAATATAAATTCGAGCATCAAATTTAAAATATTTAGGTGCTCTGCGATAAAATACAGGATATTTCCTTTGGCGAAGCATGACGCAAAGGTTTGTTCATTTCAAACGTTTAAACATTTTCCAATGAAAACTAAATTATGATGATTTACTGTCGTGTTTGTGAGCGAATTCTTTGTTGCAGTCCCCAAAAAGCCCTACAGCGAAACAAATTGAGGAATCTGTTAAATAAATTAGATAATTGCGGTACATTCATCCTAATTAATCTCATTACGGCACAAAAAGCAACGTTAACAGTGTCATTGCCAAAGCTGGTGCAATAGAATCCTTGATGTTGTTTGAACTAGACGAACTTGATTCCGACAGGCCGACGAAGTATTTGTAATCGTTGATAAACGCGTATGTAGGGCGAATAAAAATGAGTGAAAATCCTCATAAATAGTGTAGAAACAGTCGTGTGATTTCAATCTGGCTGAAATGTGCATTGTTGATAATTTTATATGGGTTTCCAGCAAGCAAATCTGGGTTAAGGCTCTAAATGATTGATGTAAGCAAAGTCTACTGAATATATTATGTTCACTTTGTTATTGGATTCTATGCAAAGTGGTTCAGAACTATGGGATTAAAACTTGTTCAGTGCCAAAAAAGATGATTTCTCAAAATAAAATTCAAGTCTAGATATCGGCAATCAATATCTCATGTATCTATTGAAAGGCTATTGAAGAGAGGAGCTAGACACACGGTCTAGTTATTGCGAAATTACCTCATGATAACTGCGGTGCAGAAGCAAAGTAAAAAAATGTCCAAAGATCAGGAATTTAATGCAAATAAACTTATCAATGGATTCTACTCAAATTTACTCCAGAACGCCAGCGAAGCTTTCTTTAAAGGCTGTCTTAGAGAGCGATTGGAGATTAGGTCTAGTTATTGACAAAGGGCCCCTTGAACTCTGCGGTAACTAAATGGCGAATAATAAGAAAATCGACTTATTTAGCTCAAACTCACACAGCAATAAAACCGAAGCTTCCGGTCGAGGTTGGTAGAAAAATCTTAACACTTCGTCGTGTTATTGAGAAATTGATTCTTGAAAACTGTAGTGTCGGAATGGCGATTAGTCAAAAACCGTCCAGATCAGGATTTAATTCCGCGGAAACTGATCGAAATATTCATCTCTAATTCACACAGGAATGAAAGTGACACTGAATTAAAGGGCTGAGAAAAGCAAGCAGAATTCCTTGTCTAGTTATTGAGAAACGACCTCTTGAAAACCGTGGTGCATAAATAACGCAATGACAAAAAATGTCCGAATTTTTCAGACCTAATGGGCCATCAAGACATACTTATCAAGTTCTTAGACTCAAATGCGTGCTAAAAAACGGGCAATTTTAAAAATCTAAAAGCGATTACTAAATGACTATTTTATTATTTAAACAAATTCCATTTTTCATCACATGTAAAACAACTGCTGACTGATCTTGTTTCACCTGTATGATGGTGCTAAATATAAAAGAAAAAGATTAACAACCGTATTTAAATAACGCAAGGTAAATAGTCGAATAATTCAAATGCAAAGGCAAGTAATTTATATTTAATTGGCCTCATAAATTAGCAATAGAGCCAAAAGTCCTGGTGGAAAATTACTTTTGACGCAAAAAAATGCCGGCATACCTGATAGATTTTCCAAAACTTTCAAGCGGGCGCAGTCTTTTCGGTACGATGTATTCCATGCTTCGCATTTTTCCTTGGAAATAAAGTAGAGGATTTTCACACCAACACTAACCACAGATGTAATGAGAGTGTTAATATGAAAATCTCCTGACAAATTGTATGGGACGTGCTATTTAGAATATAGTCATTTATTATTTAAGCAAATAAAGATTCATTGGTCAACAGTATTCTCAAAATTCATCAGCTCGGTAAGGTAATAAGTATGTTTGCCAATTAGTTTAGATTTGAAGTTTTGTCAAATTTCCCAGTTGCGTTGTTCAGAAAACGTAAAATTGATCTTAAGACTCTCATTGAAATTTAGTGGAACCTTTAACCCAGCTAAGGTTGCTGCGACTATTTATTTTCCAATTTTATAAATCTTTTAGTTGAAAGGCGCCTCATTTCAAACTATGTATGTAGATAAAACTACTGATAAACTCAGGATTTTTACCTTCGAAAAAGCTTTAGTTATTAATTTGTCATTTCGCGTCCAATCCTACACATCTCCTGCGGTCGATGACGTAGACCTTTGTTTAAACAATACGACGTTTAAATATTTGCACCTTTTGTTGAAAACAAGTCAATGGCTGGCATGTCTTATAAATAAAATGTATAAATCAAATAGTAAATTGCAAGCGCAAAGAGCGTGCCATTGTTTCGTCTCTTGGCTCCAATTGCTGATAAAAAAACTTGTGACTTTATTAAAAAAAATTAGCAATTAGCACTAACGTTGAACTGAATTTCATAGTGGAAACGAAAAACCGGGACCGTAAATTGCACGAGTTTCTCCTTAACCACACCAGCAACTCATTAGTGGCATTTCAAAGCAAAATAAAAAATGTTTGCAACCCAAAAGTACACAGGTTTTTCAAGTAGGTTTGCAGATAACTATAATTAATCCATAATTTTCCGGGGACAACCCGAATTTGCATAGTTGATTAAACTCTGTGCACTTGAGGTAAATGTTTAGCCAATTGCATTGTAACATGCGGATTTATTAAACTACGTTAGGCAATTTAATTGAAAAAAACCTGCTTGTTGCTAATCATGTAAGTGGTTATCTTAACGTTAATTTAAACGCTACAGAGTGGCGGTTTGAATCGAATTCGGAACCATCACTTGGTACGCATTAATCAAAAAGCTAATCAACCTAAGCGCTTGTTTCCTGCAAAATGCCGACCTTCACCATGGCCGGAGTTTCACATTATGGTTGGTTAAATGAGGATTTTGCTTTTCTGGCTTTGGTGACAACAGGAAAATTGCTTCAGATGGAGGTAAAAAATTAAAACCTACACCTTCGTTATGCAGCAAAATGTTCTGCAATTGCCTTGGGGCTCATTTCTCAACAAGACCTTGTTAGCAAATCCTGCTTTATCGACTGAAATTTCCTATTAAAACTACGTTACAAATACAGTTGTACCTTGAAGTTGATGGGACGCTATTGTACTTCCCAAGTCTTTCAGTAAAATAACTGTAAGTCAAGTTCTGGCCGACCATTGCAGGAATAACTGCAAAATTCAAACTGCACCTTATGCGATCTTATCAAAACTGAACCTGTTCTGAGCCGAATTATGGAAAAATCCTAATCACCCTACCGTTTGACGTGTGTTTCTAACTATATTGAGGAAAAGTGGCGAAAAAGTCCGGATATAAATCTTTACAGAATGCTTTTATTAGGATTTTCGTGCGCTAATATTAACACAACATTGTGTTATGAATTTATTGAACCGTAATGAGTAAACATAATCAATGGTAAGGTTATATTTAATTGCATAATGAAATTAATCGATGATTAACGGAACGTTTTCAACTACAACTCGGTGCAGAAATTTAGATAAATACGTCAAATATTGAAGAAGAAAACCACTAAAGAGTTAATTATTCAGAACTCAAACTCATTACTTTAGCCATGCTCGACCTGCAATAGAAAATATTATGCAAAGTATTTTAAATGATTTTGAAACTAAGTAGTATTTTTAAGTAATGGAGCCAATTTAATAGAAATTATTTTGTTTGATGTTTACATCGTAAAACTGTTCAGTATTCATTTAAATAACAGGCTGTGGAATTTTTTTTGTTACTAAAATTTAAGCAATAAAGATTAGGATGACATGCGGTTTTTCATGAGTAGGAACTTAAATCCCTATTCGTATTTATTAATTTTTAAATAATTTAAGCAGACGTTTTCCACATCTGTTAGACGCAGAGTAGAAACTGAGAGAAAAAGTGCCTAATTTCACATCAGCTTAAAAAAATTCTGATATCAAAATGTCTTAAAAATTCATACTTTCAGTGGCCCGTTTTTTCGTCTGGATCCATTTTTACACAAATGTTTCACAAAAAATAGTCGGTATATATATTAAAGTTAAGCGTGATTTTCCGGTTGTTAAAAGGTCGTCGATATGAATTTGGTCCTGACGTTTCGCTAGCACGCATGGATGTCATCATCAGATGTAAGTTCGCAAAAAATATATCTATGCCTAAATTTCTATCGACGACAACCTAATAACCGGAAAATTACGGTTGGTTTTCGATATACAATCTATTTCTCCACAATTGCCAAAAATAGTTTTTCTTGCAAATTTAACAAATTATTCTCTTTCAGTATTAATTTGCGTTCATTTGCTATTTGGCCTCATTTTTCTCACTTCATCTGCGTCTTTTTTCGCGGCCCATTTATGTTTTTCCTGACTTGCCTTTGAATCTTGAAAAACATTTTAAAACAAATCTTCATCTGCAAAATTTTACTCCAATGGCAAAAATTAGTTGTACTTTTCTTCTTGCAAATTTAACAAATGATTCTCTTTCAGTATTAATTCACTTCGTCTGCGTTCTTTTTCATGGTTTATTGTTCTTCGCTTGCCTTTGAAACTTTGAGTACCTTTTAAACAAATCTTTATTTTCAGTATTTTTCAAAAATGTTGACTTAGATTTTCTATTCCGTTTCACCTCGTTTATGATTAGGATTAAAATTGATTGCAACATGAATGTCACACAAGACTGTGGAAGACAGATAATAAAAAAAATTATAACCGAAGGTGTGATGATGATTCAATGTGTGAATTCAGTTGAATGTTTCATCAAATAATATTAAAAAGCTGCTGATCTATAAAGCGATTTAATCCCCAAGGGATATTTGGATAAGAGATAAGGTTTTATAGGCAATCAAGTGATTACCAACCGAAGTCGGAAAATTTGTGGGCGTTAAAACTCCTAGCTCTGGTCTGCATGACAATTTTTGATCAATTCTTTGGACTAATGAATAATTCAAAATACATCGACTATAAATGTCGTTTAGTGCCATCAGGAATATGCCTTCCATTGTTCACCGGTAGCAGCTATTGGTTTGCTTGCCTTGTTACATAAATCATTTTTCTACGAAGACCCGGCCGAAATTTAACAATCATTTGTATACTCACGTTGGAGGATTGACGATGTTGAAGAGCTCCACTGGCGATGTTGGGACTCTTCGAACAATCATTTTCTTCCCGTCAGTTGATCCCATACCAACAGACGCCCATGATCGCACTGAACCAGCATCAGAAAACGGCTTCTGAGTCATGCTCATGCCATAACCCGAGTCTACACTACTGGGTGGCTTGCTGGAATGTTGACCTGAAGGCGAGAGGAAACTTTTCGTAGAATTCTCTCGAGCAAACCAGAAGATCTCACCTTGCATGTCGCTCATCACATGATGGTAATTCTTCAGCGATCTTATGCTGGGGTCTCGGCGAAAATTCGGGCTGCTGATGCTGGAAACTAAGGGCGAGCCATTCGTGCTAGCGCTAGCACTAGTGGACGGTTGATTTCCATCTAGCTGATGTTTAAACCTGTTCGTCCGCCTTAAAGAGCCTGCCGGGCTGGAGTCAGTTTGCACGTTTTCAGTGAGTCTTTTGTTATCTAATACTGTTGACGCAGCTGCTTCTGAAGTCCTCAGTTCTTTCATTTCAAGCCTTTCGTCTTCGTCTTCTGATTAAAAAAACTCTGGATTGTACGGATAAATGAGCGTTCAATGAACGGATCTAGCAGTTAAGAAGAAGTACTTGAAGAAGCAGAACGAAAGAGTGAGGAGAAGTGCAAAGAACGGATGTAAATAATGCTAAGCTTGAAAATGATTGGAGTTCCATTAAAGCAAATCTTGAAATCTCGAAAATAAGAAATATTTCCAAACCTGAGCTGCGTTGAAAATCACTAACAATTTCGCAATTTTACTATCGCAACATTTGCCAGCTGTATTGATTGCTCGTAAAGCTCTACCAAACCTTACGTACTTAACGCTAACATCCTCACCTTGAAAGTTATGTAGTTATCACATTACTAAACAGCAAACTATGTTAAATGACAAATTATTACAATTTCGCTATTAGTCTAAGTAGCACCATTTGAGGCTCTTAGAGAGCAAGTCATGTTGAAATTTCGTGGGAACTTGCATTTTTTGAAGGTTTTTCGAAAAACGATCCAAAATTTGCCACAGGCAGGATATTGGACCGAAAACTCAATTGCAGTTTCTTTGTCTGCCCTCAATATGGCTCATAATGAGCTGATGGTTAAGAAAGGCCTGAAAGACCATAACGGTCTGAATCAGTTATTCCAATTAGAAAATAACACCAAAACTGAATGTTCTAGATGTAACACTTATTGTGGCTCAAATAATGTAGAGAAAATAGTAAAAAACGAACAATGTGGCATGAATTGTGATTATGCAAAGACAATGAAAAAAGCTGAGACGAGACAAGGAACCAACTAAAGAAAAATTAAGTCAAAAACCTAAGTAGTGTTCGAATTTGTAATTTATGAGAAATGTATTGCAGACGACACCTTAATGTTAATAAAAAAATGCTCAAAAATTGACAAAGAGAATATAAATGAAAGGAATATTAAAGAACCAAGGCTAAAATGTTAAATAAATTAGTTTTGCTTGCAATCAATGAATCAACCGGATCAAAGTAATCGCCGTGAATAATCGATAATGAATTAATAATTAGCCCAATTAATAATTAAGAAAAAACAACGTGAAGTGACTTTTTCAAGTGCGTTGAATGGATGTATGAACAAACAAAGCAACAAAGTTCAAATATCAAAGATAATAATACCAATAACTGCTATGTTGAGAATTACTTCATACAAAATACTATGATATTGAAAATGTAAAACGGACGATGAAGCAAGGGAGAACAAGACAGTTAAAGCGAAAGATTGAAAAATGTTCCAGATAACCAAAAGAGAATAAACATCGATGAAAATGGTATTTGCAATGTTCATTAGAAGTTCCTGTTGAGCACAAAAGATATATTTTAATGATCAAACGATCCTGAAGTAATTAAAACTGTTAGGTTTTTGGGGGTTTACGACCGTCCATGAAACTAGTTTTTGGATTAGTAGTTTGAAAGAAGTTTTCTGGAGGAAATTTCACCAATTTCGAAAAATGTATTTGCTTTTTAACTATCTGTAAATTGGTAACTGGTTTTTTAAATTGCCAATCTATGAGTCATAATCAATAAATGAAGCTAGAGGAATAAAATGGGACTTGAAAAACAAATAAATCAAAATATGCAGACGTTGGAAATGTAGGCAGCTGAAGAAAAATATAAAAACTTCTTTCAGCAGCGAAATTAATTAAAACAGTGAACAACAAATTATTATTTGAATTAATAAAAAGGAAAAAGCAAAAGGAGGAATTATGGACAGAAACACAAAATGTACAAAACCATTAATTTGACCAGTAAAATTTAAATAGAATTGAAATAAAAATCTAACTATTTTTGAGAATATCATTACCTAATAAATATTGAAGCAAAGAAGGAGGGAATGTTTAGAAGGGTTTATCGGTTGCAATTTACCTGTTACATCTTATACAATCACCCCGAACCCAAAGAGACCGGTTTGATTTGAAAATAATGGCCCTCTGCATGCTAATGGGATATAAATGTACTTAATCTTAATGCAACAATTGCTTCAACAGTACACGCAACCTAACAAGTGCCCTGAATTAATAAATTCAACCACTGAAGAGTAATTGTGTATAAAATGCACGAGATTCGCTACAGTTAACTGTGTTTATATTCTACTAGTTTTATGACCAATTTATACACAACTACACATTACTTTTCAGCCATTGGCGTAAAATTTGAATTAGTGCGTGCTTACCTTGTGATTCTGAACTGTTATCATCATCACCAAAATCGTTCTCCTCTGGAACCGTTTGCACGTCACTTTTCAAAGCGAAAGCTCGTTTCCCCAATCGCATCGATTGCTTTTCATCCCCCATTCTGTTCTGTCTGTTGACCGCGTTAAACTGGATATTGAGAGGCGTTTGAGCCGGTACCGAAGACATTTTTTTTGTTTGGTTTCGAGCTCAATTGGAAAATTGTCCGTGCAATTTGTTTATTATATTGTCGTTATTTTTCGGACTCGTAGCCTGTTGTTATCGTAATGATAGCACTCTTGTTGTGATATTGTAGCTTGTCAGGGTCATTCTTTGGATATCGTCTGATGACACGGGTCATGGTTCTGTAATATGAGAAATCATCAAGGGAAAGAAAAATGCTTTTTTTGAAGTTGTAGGGGAATATAAGTTCTGGCAACAACGATTTTCTTATTCAGATTTTAATTAGTGTTTCATCAAAAGGAAAAACATTCTTGTTTGTTTTAAATTTGGCTGTTTTATGAATATTTTAAAGTTCAGGATCAAAGATATTAGCGTTGAAGGATCGAATCAGAATGGATGTCTATTTCTAAGCTCGTAGAACTTCTCTTCCATTGCGAAGATAATTTTATAGTTAGAAGCGTTTTGAGCCATTTTAGGTTCTGAGCTATTTTAGTTTTCTTAAAAAAATGGAAAACTGGATAAAAAAATTACATTTCTCGGATGGGGTTTGTGTGCTCACTAGCTTGTCTTCAGCCGCAAAAGATTGCTGTAAAAGTTTTATTTTTAGTTTTATGAAAAGACCATAAAATATCATATTTTTCACTTCTTACGGTTTCCTAACATTTCGGTCTATGCTACGAACTTTTACTCTGAAAATCTGAATTTTTTAATCATTAAAATTCATCCCTGTGTTTAAGCTGAGAAAACAAGATTTAAGTAACGATAAATTACATTTTATGAAAAATTTTATTTTTAATCTCACTTTTTTTTTCGGCTCAAAAACATTGTTTTTTTTATTGTTTCATGAAAATTTCGAAGTTCAGGTCCAAAGATATTAGAGGTAAAAGATCGAAGCGGCTCAAAAGAGCTCATCATTTTTCCTCATCAGAATGGTCTAGCTTATCTATTTCTGAGCTCGTAGAATTATCTCTCCGTTGCGAAGAAAATTGTATAGTTTGAGGCATTTTGAACTATTAGAGTTTTTCAGAAAAAATTGAAAATTGGCTAAAAGTTTACGTTTATCAGCTGGGTTTTGTGTGCTCAATGGCTTGATTTCAGACGCGGAAGATTCTAACTGACCCAGAAGTTTTTCATAAAGATAATAAAAGACGGATTTCCAGATTTTACACTTATTAGGGTTTGTTTATGGTGCCAACTTTTCCAAAGTCTAAATTATTTTACCCTTAAAACATCTTTTGGGAGCTAAACTCCAGTTTTTTAACCGATAAAACATTGTTAAAACATAAATGAGATTTTGCAAAGTTTTCTGAAGCTCTGCCAAAGGTTTCACTGCTGATTCACAAGCTACTTTCAATCTTTGCTGAATTAAAATTATTTTGAATTTTCTGCAAATTTTCCTCTATTATACTATTTGATTGTTCGCTAGATGGTTGTTCTGATAAAACGATGATCGTCGCTTTAGGTTTCGAGATATTACTGCAATCAATTAATTTATCTAATGAATCAAATATTTTACCTATTTACGATGCAAAAGCTTTCGTTATTGCCAATGCAAAATACTGTACTTTCAGGAAAAGACGTTCTTACATGTCAGAAACTGTTTCAAATATACAGTCGGTTCATGGAAACGATTTTTTTAGCATTGAGACCCTTATTTTATAGCAGAAAAATAGACCATTCTGTTTAGTCACTGTGTAGTTTATCTTACCAAAATATAGCGTGTTACACTAAATTGGTCATTACGACTAGTGCGTTATTTTCGAAGGTTTGAGAGCCTTAGAAAGATTAGTTTCAGTACGAAAAGTGCATGGGTTGTAAACTGATTCGGATCCTATAAGGCTTCTGTTTAAACGCGAAAAACCAGGAAAAATTTCCCATTTTTTCATTTGTCCGAGGAAATTCGCATCATTTTAGTTACATTTCTGGATAATATCTGTGAAATTGCCATTTCAAGTTGCATAAATGAACATACATATTAAACGAGCTGGGGTGCATTATTAATTTTTTTTGCCATTTCGTCAACTTTTGAGTTGAGCGAAGATTTACGTTCCTAAATCAACTTCTCAGTCTGAACACTTCACTTTTTGAGTAAATTTTGAAGAAAAAAGTGCGTGTTTCATCCTTATGCGTAGTGTAGATGCGACTTTTTTCTTCATTAAAAAAAAAAAAACTGAAAGTTTGGGTTCGTTTTGCAAGTATTTTGACACCCGATAAAGTATTTGACTATTCAACATGAAAAGTGACTCGGATTCTATAAATTTTATAAAATCTACAAAGCAAAGCTGAGTTCTTTATCTAAGGAAACTTTGAACATCAGTCGCATATTTTGCCGATTCCTTATTCTGCCCGAAAGTTTGTTCGATTTCTAAATCTTCTGCTCCAAAAAACTTCAAGTTCTTTTAGATATTTTGACGAGTAAAGTAGGTACATGGACATCCATATCCGCATATAGAAAACCTCGTTGGAAATCCCCCGTAGAAATATAGAATAATTAGCGAAAAAAGCACAGCAATGCTTGATTGAACAATTAGGTAAAACTAAGTACATTTGCGACAAACCGACAACGGCAAACATGAAAGGATTGCCATAGTCTCCATCCAGCCGACTTTATTATTCGATGTGAATGTAATTATTTGATAATTCTAAAGCGTTTGTAGTGAGTTCACCCAGTGTGATGAATGCGGTAATTAACGTTAAAGTTCAAAGTATCGAAAAACCCAACATGACCTCAAAGTGGAAATGAGAACTTTACCTTAAGTAAGTTGGATCATAACGATGTCGGGTTGTCCAGCATTGAATCAAACACCGGATGACAACGTGTAATTTGTGATTTATCGTAAACTAATCAACACAAGCAAAACAACACGCCGATGTCGAAACAACACAAGAAAAGCTGTACTGGTAGTATCAACTTTCACGGGAAGGCGGCCTGCGGTTTCAGTATACGCTGTTTGATTCCGTGCCGGCAAAAGACTAATCAACGAAATTATAAATTGTTGTTAATAATGCAATCTAAATGAGCGTCCCCCCGCTTATATTTATTTCTGTACAGGATTAATCCTATCTTTGTGGCCTTTTATCATCATCTTACGATGACGATATGGACGCCACTCAAATACTTCTGATAATGTTCTTATCATGTTTGGATTTCTATTTAATTCGCTGAATTTTCACCTCTATTTATTTTACTATTCAAATGGCAAATTATAAACTTACAAGGACGCAGTATTCATTTTTAAATTGTATACACGGTGTTCCAATGATTTGTTTAACGAAGAACGGTTTTCATGATGGTTAAAACTAATAATTTGCTTCTGGGCGATTATACGGCACTGTTTATTCATTCTTCATTCTCAAGTAAAACAAAATTAAAATTCTCCATCAGGGTACAAGCAGCACGCATAACGCGGCTTTGAGCGCACTATTTTGCAAAATTTTGATTTTCATGTAAAGAAGAAAATCTGTATGACTCCTGAAAGTTTCAGCATGTGAGGGTCGTCAGGGATTTTTTGGCGATTTTTTAAATTTGGCTTTGTTTTCGAACTGATTTTTTGACAACGAATTGAGAAAAACGCAATCCCGCAAATCTTCACTTGCATTTTAATTTCTGGGCTATCATTCTCATCATCCAGTCATCCAGAATCTAGTTCAGATGAAGAAGTTCTGTTTTCATTGCACCAATTAAAACATTTTATTTTTGTATAAAATTATTTCTTCATTTTAAACCGCCATTGATTAGGACGCTAATGATTCAGTTTATTGGGATTTTTCCCTGGCAAATTTTTAGTCCAATTTTCTTGTCTTTTGACATTCTTGCTCTCAACCATATGTTTATTATTAGATTGATGGCGCCTTCTTGAACAAATTCGCTTATGAAAAAATAGTGCAATTATCATCTTTTTAGTTTTCTTTCTATTGTAAATTTCCAGTTTCCTCCATCATTGGCCATTGTGACTTTATGTTCCTTTAAATAATTTCTTACTTGTTTTTTTCAGTTCAGTTTTCCATGCCACATTTTTCGCTATTGCTAAATTTTTCCATTTGTAAATGATAAATTTTCTTTGATGATTTTAAGTTGCTAACTTCACTATTGTCACAGTAAAACATTATGCCATTTCCATTAAGTTTTTCACAACATAATGAACCGCTTAGTCGAGGGTGAAGTGTAATTCAAATATCTAATTAATAAAGAAACGAATTGATTATAAAATATTAATAAATCATTAATAAGTCGTCTATAATTAGATTATTAATTGTATTTCTGTATTCATCAAAGTTGAATCACTATTTTTTGAATGAAATTAGACATTTCCTGTATTCAATTCAGTACTGTGTAATTAATAAATTTAAATAAATTTATTTGAGATAATTTCATTATATTAAGCCGCGAATAATTCTTTTGTGGGTTCTATGCTCTTTTTTATTCATTTTTGGTTGTTGATTTAATTGCTTAACTGCTGGCATTTATCTTTTCTTCTCTATATTTTTTTACTTGACTAAGTGGGCATTTTGTTGCAGACTCTTTGCCATCGTATAATATATATTTTCGTATATTTTTTCACTTTGAATGGAAATATGAAATAAAAATTACATGTACAAATTATCAAATAAAGATTGAAATATTCGATTAAAGCGAGCTCAATTATGAAACATCGCTTATATATTACTCAGAAAGGATTTTTCGAAGTTGACTAACTTCAAATCTTCTCTGGTTTCATCTCAAATACCCAAATAGCATTGATGTGCTTTCTAACTCGAATTGCAAAATCTTTTAACTCCTTTAAAAAACCATAAAGATTTAATAAATTTTGCGACTTTTATCTTTTTGCAAAGACTAAATCATTTTTATCGCTTTCAAGCAGACATGAAAATTATCATTCCTCATTTGTCGTTCAATGTTCAACATGTTGTTGTTTGGAAATTAAATAAGTAATACTTTAAAAAGTTGTTACTTACTCTGGACGAACGTTTTTTGGCTATGTGTTATTTTTCGTAAAGGAACGGAGCTTTTTTTTGGTTCAAATGAGCTGAGAGAAACGTGATAAAAAATTAGCGACAATTTCAACCACTACAGAAAATTGTTCACATTGTGGCTCAGCATTGGCTTTAAAGTTTTGGGAAAAATAAAAAAAATGTCATAATTCAGAAGTGTTTATTAGTCACAATATTATATGGGCCAATAGTTAACATTTGCACTCTAATAAACACAATACACAGAAACAGAGAACTAATACTAAATGCAATTCCTATTAAATTAAATATGCATTATTCTCATGTAATTTCATTTAGTATGGAATGATGAAACTTCAGGATTTGTCTAAGGAATCGAAATTTCTAAAAAAAAGCTAAAGTCTAATTGGTCTTAAAAAAATCTTCTCAATTTAACACCAGAGTGCAAGTATACTAACTATTGAAATATACTACTTTTGTGATTTTTGTATAGTTAACATGTACAGGTAATTTTTCAAAGTGTGTGTATATATAACAAGTTTTAACGCCTAGTCAATAAACAGGTAAATAGAATAGATATAAATAGGTACTGTGCAACTACAACCTAATTTGGGTACTGATTGGTTGGATTTCCTTACCAATTTCCTTAATTCATTATTGTGAAAAGTTATTTCAAGTGCATCAAGTACCCGCTGAAAGCTTAAGTTTTTTCTTGTAATCGTCTGACTTGGTTTGTTGGCACAACATTTATATTCAATAATTGACCGAGATTGTTGTGCATTGGAAACCAACCAGCACCCGAAATCTACATTAGTCAAAAGTCCTATAATTAAGTACTATCATCTCGGTGTTAACTGCTGTAAGCTTTTTTTACATAATGTTCTGGATTAGGTAAGATGGGGTGGCTTGAAACTCACTCGGTAAGTAAGGAATTAAAGCTGAGTTCGATACTTTCTTTTAAAAAGGAAACCAATAATTTTTCCTTAAAATATTTCTTCTCACTACAGTATATCTTAAATACACTCGTTACAGCATAGTGCTCTACTAGATATAAAATTTAAAATTGAATATATATTTAATAAAACTTCTTTATCTACCGATGTAAAATACAAATTTACATTTATTCGATATAGTTTGATGTTTGAAATCTGAACTCCCATTGGCTCGGAAAAATGAATCGGTACTCATTCAAGCAATTATTGAATCAGCAAAGAGCCATTTTTCATAGGTTTTTTTAGCATCGTGCAATTTACTTTTTACAATTTTGGTGCATGTTTGCTTTTTGAACATGGCTTATTACTAGATTGGATTGTTTTCGGTTTTTGATTGCTTCTATTGGAATTTGCGGCAACAAGTTGAAAAATCCTTTCATTCGAACAGTGTCTATATAGTCGATACTTAAACTTTGTGCCGCATTTGCTTAAGATAGAGAAACAAGTTCGTTTCCATTAATTTGTGCCAAATTGAACTATTGCAACCGATTTAGAGTTCTAAGCTTTATATTTATCGCTGTAGAAAAAATAATTAATGCTTTTTCTTTGTAAGTACAGGGAATATTATGGGTCCAGTTTGCCTTTTGATTAATAATCTAATTTATAGTTACATAATACTGGGTGAACACTTTAACTAGAATGAATTTACCAGCGAGAACATAAATAAGTATTTTTTATTCCCGACGTGCTAATCACATTTTGATGCCTATTTACTGCTCTTGAGTAGTTTGAGTTCATACTCATGTATGAGCGTAATTTTATAGTTGAATTTTTATGTTCCGATGAAGCGTCGGAAGCCATTCGGTTGTATTTGAAAAAAACATGTTGGCTATTTTTTCTTTGCAAATATAAGATACATACATTAAAACGTTGAAATGTATCGGGAATAAAAAAATATTTGTCTTCCCTCCAACAAATGTATTCACGTTAAAGTCTCCACTCGGTCAAAAATTCTCTATCTAAAACTAAAACGAATTAGTCTACGGTTTGTACTTTCTGCCAAAGAGAAGAAGTACGCGCTACTTTTCCAGAATACACTATTAATAATATTAGAGCGATACTGTTATGTATAAATGTATATTAACATTAAAAATGTACATAAAGAAATATCTGTATAGCTATATAGAACGTGTGATTTTCGTTAATAAGTTTTAAGAATAAAATCTCTCAAACAAAACAACAGCTTTATACAAAGGAGGGCTTGTTCAGTGCCTTTTTGTAGGAAACAACACATCCTGCCAGCAGGTACTTTTTATATGCAGAATTTATTAAACATTTTGTGCGGAACACTGAAAATCAATACCTAAACAAACGAATTTTGTCTTTTTTCTTAAAATCACGTAAATCATTCCAAGATGCTTGGAAGGGTGCACAAAATGTTTGCTTCGTCCTCGTCTAGTTCCTAATTGACAAAATATACGTTAAGGAAAAGGATATTTTTATTTGGTTGATAATTTGTGGTTTGCGAAAATTAAAAAACCGAATTTGTGTTTGGAAAGGCAAATGGCAAATGCATGCATTGTTTTAATTAACGCATTTTTTGTCAAAAGTGGACTGTTCCCATAGGAGTGTTCAAAATAATTATAACAAAATGTAAGAGAAGCTAAAAAAACAGTTTATTCTCCGGAAGAATTGCTGTTTTGCTATCTATGGAGGAAAAAAAATGTCAGTTTTTTTGTTACATTTCTGCAGTTTAAAACAATTATATGCTTTCTTAATGATCCATCACTTTGTTTGCTAAAATGCAAAAATATCCTCCTCCAAAACTCAAAGGCTGATTAATATAATCAGGATTTCGTAACTGTTTTTTCGAACAAAATGAAGATTTTCGTAATTTTTCAACTCTGAAACCATCAGTAACGATCCGAGGGTTTATCGGAAAATATTAGTCTAAATATTACACTAGAATGATATGTATGAGCGAAGTTTTATTAGTAAAATTGCTACGCTACTCAGAACGATTGTCTAACATGGACATTGGCGAATTCCATGCTAAACATTGCGCGTAACAAATCGTTCTTATTTACTTCTATTGCTATAACACATAACAGAGAACGAATAGTGTAACGTAACGTTGCTTAAGTAACCGTGGCAGTGAAAAAGAGTTAACAAAACTGAAAATAACTTACGTGTGGTTACAAAGAAATTAACTACGACTAGACAATTTGACTATAACAACAAAACACTTTTCCAGCTATACAGTTAAGGACTTGCGTTTGGTTTAAGTGGATCTTTGGGTATTCTGGCGCATGGAAAAGTGTGCTCATTACTACAATCACAGCTCATTAAATATAGTTTAATCGATCAGAAATATAGTTGCTATTTAAAAGTTCGTACTTTTTCTAAGACAATCTCACTTTTTTGTCGATTCGTGCATTTTGTAATTAAATGCAGAATTTAAAAGATGAAGCTACAGCCAAACTTCACATTATTAACAAAACAATAGTGACCAAGAGCCAAAACACTTTGCATCAACAGTACAAACTTAAACAAAACCTTTCTTTTATACAAATCAAGTTCATTCTGCGGCTCCTTGCTCACATTAATAACAAAATATGTTGGATAATATATTTTACCTCTCGCTTGAGAGTCGGTATACTTCTAAAGTTATATTTATTATGGTTACAAAAAGATTTATCTCTTTTAAAACTAATACTTATTTTATTTTTATTAGTACTAGCGGTTTTCATAGAGGGTTCTTCAATGAAATGGGGGGTTGCCACAGCATTTGCACTGTTCATTTCCGAACGGTTTTGCCTCGTTTTGATGCGCTGTACTATTTAACCTGAAGACAAAGAGGAGGACTTTATTGGAGGCAATAAAATGTAAAATTTATTGGAAATTTACTATTGGAGTTTGCAAGGTTGACCAAATGGTAAAAATCCAAAAGTCTGCATAAGTATTCGTCTCAGTTTGTTCTTGAATTCAGACCCCAGTTAAGAAAAGACAGAACAGATGTGGTTATCAGCAAGGGTATTTTTTCCTTACTAGCGCACAAAAGTGACTAGTAGTGTTCGGTAGCTGGTTTCTATAAGTCCCGAAGGGTTTAAGAATATATGCATATAATAATTTGTTGAAATCTTTTATATGCGTCCGATTTGATCAGACCGACCAAAACAAGTGACTCATCAGGTCCGTTTGCTTGCATTTTGCAAAAATATGTTTTTTCCAATGTTATATTCTTGTCTATTTTTCCACTTTCTTCTTGTCTAGTCCTTCTTCTTGTCGTGAATATGGCGAAAACTTAATTGATAGTCTCGAAAGAGTTTTGATTTTTTCATTGTCATGTTTTGGAATACTTTCCGAAGACATTTTAAAGCATCAGCAGTAGGCGTATCGGTCTATATGAAGAAATTTGGCCAGGCTTTTTTGGTGTAAGAATCATGATGATTTGAGCGACGTTTCATCAGCTAGGGAACTGAGTTACCATCGAATAGATAAGCAATTTTCAGATGGATCATGTGGAGTTTCTTCAGATATCAGATCAAAACCAGGTGGTTTCTTTATGTTAATTTTACTCCCAATAATTCGATTTATTTCTGTCGCGAGTTTAAGCTTCTTTTGATGCAAATCTACTTGGAAAGGAAGATCATTATTCATCCTTTTTCATCAGATAGCTGCGAAGAAAATGGTTTGAAGATAGTTTTTATCGACTTTATCGTTTCGGGTCCATCTGTTGCTATCGATTCTTAATCCCGTTTTGTTTTGTTCAAGTATTTATTACAACTTCTCCTGATATTCTGTTGCGTCTGTTGTCAGATTTATCCGATTTATATTCCTCTAAACAAGCTTCTTCAGTTGAATTATTTCATTTTGTCGCTGTTTCTTTCGTTCTCGTTTAAGCAAGTTTTTCTTTGATAACCCATGGGTTTCTAGCTTTAGCTAAATCGATTGTAACTGATTCAGTGCAGACTATGTATATGTTTCTATATTTTGAGATGAATTTAGTGCAGCATTTCTTCAGATTCAGATCATCTAATCCAAAAAATAATTTAAATGGACGACTTGTATGAGCACATTATTTCCTGGTAACTTGGACTTTTCTTCAAACTCCATTTTCAGATGGCAAAATCAAAGGAAGCACGTGAAAAGTTACTTTTTTGGCTATAGCTTCCGTTATCGGTGATTTTTTGTAGAAACTATTTTTGAGGATTTAAAGGAGTCGGAAAGATGAGAAGATACCTAATAAAGAAGTCAATCGGACAAAAAAAATTCAAAGGCAACCAAAATCTAAAGACTGCAGAATAAAACAGTTCTTCCTCTAAACACCTGGCGATATTTAAGCGAAAATGTCTAGATTCAGTAGCTATGAGAACACGCATGATTTGCAAATAAACTCTGTATTGTCTGTTCTGGTAGCTAGTTTAGAACTGAAGCTAGTTTAGAAGCTCCTTTTAGTTTCTTCAAATTTGCTTCAAAACTGCCTGCATTTTGAAGCTTTAACCCTATGATTTTTTCCGCTGAAAGGGTCGAAATTTCGGCCATTTTTAGACACCGTAGGGAGTTTCATTTCAGTTCGAAACACGTTTCCAGAATAAACATGATAAAATGTTGGGGATGATTAATTACCTGTTGTTATTTGTGACGGTGCATCTGGAAGAGCCCCCTTGAGACTGTAACCTTGGGGGGACATCCGCTCACTGGCCCCCCTGCTTCTCTTTTTCGGCTCGTTCTTTCTGCAATCTAGAAACAGGCAATAGTTCATAAATGCAGCCCGACATTTCATTGAACTTCTACTAATCTACTTTAATAATGCTCAAGATGAAAACCCTTAAGTGTGATTTTCACCTCTCTTACCACAGTAGTCGATTCCACCGGTTCATCCCAGATACTACAGTTAGCATTATTAAAAGACGATAGCTGGTTAATTGAATCGTCGACTCGCCAAATAGAAATATTGGAAAAAAACTTACTTATTTTTTGATTGTCGCATAAATTGCTGGATTTTTCTGGCCGCTTGATGTTGCCGCCGCTGCGAGTAGGTCCGTCTGGAAAAAGAAGGGAAAACATGCGTGAAACCGTGGAGGAACAAATCCAGAAACACCATCAACAAATGCACATTGAAAAGGCTACAATCACAACAAACTGTTAGGATATGAGCGGGCAGGGGTGAAGAGAAGGTCGCAGCACACTTCTGTCTACGGTTTTCTTCAATTTCGGTTTACACTTTTTTAGTAGGGAATCGTTTGCAACTGTTATAAACGCAAGCTGGTTAAACTAAGGTTGGCACATGCCCTAGGGGGAACAAATAATGGAGAATCGTGGTTCAAAGTTGCAAAAATTCCTCTAAGTTCAGACCAAAACAAGAGTTTAGTGCAATTTTTTTAGGGCATCGACACCGAATTTTAGGAGTTACCGACTTGAAACCGAAATACTCTTAAATAGCTAGTATACATGGTGATTCAAAATTCGGCGCACTTGAAGTTTGAAATGTTTATAGGGCAAAATTAGAATCATTTTGAATTCCGAGCAAATAGGAACAGGGACGAACACAACATGAAATTCGGCTGTAAGGTTTATTTATTTATATATTTAGTCAAAAAACGTAAGTTTTTCTTAAAAACTCAGACGCGGTCAAACATCTGTGGGTGAAAAGGTGATATAGAAATCATCACAAACGCCGACGCGAAAAAACAGCAGCGAACGAAAATAATGTCAAACCTGATATAGATTGAAGATTGAGAGAAAAACTTATTTAGACCAAAAATCAAAAATTCACATGCGTGTTTTTTAAGCTCAATCGAATCCTTTCGCTGTAGAAGCTAAAATGTCTCAACTCTTGGGCGTTCTTCAAGCTTCAAACAGCTTAAATCTAGGAAGCGATAAAAATAACTGAAAAGTCGTAAGGCGCCGTTTAATAGAGCGTTTCGACCCCTTATCTTTGCTTCTTCAGGTATCAGGCCAAATTCCTAACTACCAAATGGACAGATCGAGTTTTGGTCAATTATTGAACAATTTTATTGTTCTGGGACACGGTTGAAATTTTTCAAAAAATCATTAGAAACATGTTGATAGAGCGTCTGGAGAACCATCGGCGGAGATAATATTTTCCAGCAATTCCGTCACGGGCGGATCCACGGGGAGGGGTCATGGGGGTCGTGACCCCCCCCCATTAAATTCTCTATCCAACGATGCCAAAACGAATTCTGTGGCTCGAATGGTTATTGAGAAACTTCGAAAAAAGCAGCGTCATGTTCAAGTTGATTTAGCAACTCAAAGAAAACCACGCAAATCTAAAACTTCTTGAATTTAAGCATTGAGAAAACTGGCAACATTTCCCCATCCATGCTTCACTTTCTGAAAAGGCCATTTATTTCTGTCTAGAATGATGTACAAATGAGTGTTCTCGCTCATTTTGCCTCCGAGAAATGAGCAAAAACGGGACGAAAAACATG